CAAACACCCCGCCGTTTTCAAAGCAACTCCCAAAAAGCAGCTAACTGTGTTCGCAAGGACGCTTTCAGAAAACATTCTATTGACTTGGACACTTTTGAGTTCACCTGCACACTTTGACTTGATGTGTGTAAGAACACTTCCTCTTACTCTCTTAAATGTCTTTGGTTCTGTCCAGTCTTATCTTTAATCTTTAACGCATGTGCGCAAAGCAAACAGTCTTCCTCTCCAAAAATCGCACACAGACGCTCACATTCTCTGTGTTTTGGACACACACTCTTGCGCTGTTCCAAAACGGTGAGCTGACTACACAGAAGAAGGCAAGGGAATTATTAATTAGAAGTAAATGTATATTTCATTCACATTGATAAAAATTGCTCGGTGTAATTAAAATGAAGAGTTAATTTGCAAAAAACGATAAACGGCATCTTTAAAAAATGAACTGACTGCCTTATTCTCCACATATAGCGCGATCTCTAAACATGTTTTGTCAAAAAAGCCGGTATTGTCCACTTTCAAGGCATCCCGAGGTCACGTTTTACAGCATAAGCCAACAAGCGTATTCAGGTCAGGTGACAAGGCTGCAAGTCAGTTCAAAAAGAAGTGCTAGCTGAGAGGAGTTTTGTCAAAGCTGACTAAAAGTGATCGAGGATGGATAATTTTGACAAACTTGATGAGCCTGTGATTTCTTCTTCAAGGCATAAAAGGAAACAAAAGCTGAAACCTTTTCACTATACCTTGCAAAAGCAGCGCGTTACAATGGTGAGGGAAAAGCTGCTCCCTGTATTGCGTGTAATCACAACAACAAAGTTTGTCAGGCATCTACATTGTCAGCTGAGCAGATTACAAAGATTAAACAAGTGTTTTTGTTAAACTGTGAAACATGAAATGTGGAGTTATCTGCTTTTGCCAAAAAAACAATGTTGGAGTTATCAGCTTTTGCTAACAAACTTTTAATATATAAAAACATATTTTCAATTAATTTTAATTTTGTAAGTTACCTGTATTTTATGTAGAGTTATTATTTCTTAATCAAAACAACCCAACTGCACTTTGATTGATTTTACGTAGAATTCACAATAAAAATGGAGTTATCTGTTTTTGCAAATGAACTCTTCAAATGAGCTGTGTATTTTCATGCTACAGACTATACTAAAACCAGTTGAGTCAAGTCTCTCCAGTGCATAGTGCTATTTATTTGTCACACAAGTTCCTGCTGATGTCCATGAATAATCCAGCACATCCCACATCGTGAGCCGTTCTCAATTTGGGGCCCGACATGATCTGTATATGTCTAATTGAAGACATTCATTGTTGTGCATGTGGGTGTACTACATCCGCTTGCATTTCCAAGCCCTCATACGGCAGATCAAACAGGTGCGGTGTGGGTTTCATTACTGTAATGCGACAATCTTTGTGTGAGTTGTGTATTTTCATGCTTCGCACTATATTGGAACCAGTTGAGTCGAGTCTCTCCAGTGCGTAGTGCTATTTGTTTGGCATACAAGTTGCTGCCGATGTAGAGCATTCCGAATCGGACACTTCTGAGGTTCTGTGACGGTTCTGATGTAGGCAGCGTAGCAGCTAGGTTTTGCAACACAACTTCTCTCTCTCCTTCTGGGTGGAGGGCTTGTGCTGAGAAGGCAGTAGGAAGTTAGTAGAGTTCACAGTTGACAGAAGACTTGTGGTGGACTCTAATTTGAGCACTCACAGTGGTTTGTGGTGGCACATGTTATTTCTGCTCCGTCTACGAATCGCTTGTCTCTCCCTGATGCCCTCTGTCTCCATTCTCTCTCTCTGTCTTGTTTGCTTTCTCTATGGGAACCGAGAGCCAGCAACACCATTAAATTCAGCACGCTGTATGAAATTCTGAGGCCTAGCTTAGCAGGTGTCATGTATCCTCAGCTCTCTGTGCTGGTTCTTGCCATTTAATGTGATTTGTGTGCATCTGCTAAGAATATGAATGTGAATGTAAACTCTGCCTGACAATGGGAGTATAGAATATTTTATCTTTTTCCTTTTAACATTTTCAAATCTCCTTTTCTTTATTTCTGAGCTTTCATAAGTGTCAGGCCAGATATTTTGAGTTTCTTGTGGGGTAGTGCATCTTGTATTTAAGGATTCCCTGGTTTCTGTTTGCTAAATGAACAGTTTTACTGTAGTGCTGTGTTACATTTATGCAGTATTGACCTGCTCAAATGAATGGAGAAAACATGCTGAAGCAACATGCTCTTTCAACACACTTTACATTTCAAAACTGGTTGTTAAAATTTAATGTTTCTTTCATCGTGAAAGCAGGTAGCTATTCAATAGCTTGTAAATTCCTTATTGACCATAGCTGCACATTTATTACAATTTCAAAGGCTTGCTGACTCTAATGTTAATGTTACATAGACTTAACTATTTGGAAGGTATTTTTATTAGAACCTATTAGTGGAGAGTTAGACGTCAACAAACAGACATGCTCATTTACCAAATGTGAATGTGCCAGTGAGCACGTCGGCGCTGATGCTTGTCTTCCCTCCTCCAACATTTTGCAATTCCCTTTCATAAATCATGAAGATATTTCTGTCTATAAATGCACGCTTTAGTGATGGTTCCTGCTGACCCTCCTCTCCTGGTGCCCCCTTGATCCGAACCAGCATTAAAAAAAGATCAAAAAACTCTTCATACCTTTTTTCCACTCTAGGGCCTGATAAAAGACCCCCTGTGTTCTACTTATTGCTAACCTGAGGCTTGATCTTTTGTGCCCGTTACAGGCTTCAGTCACCGTGTTTCTCAAAAATTTGACAAGAACTTTTGTAAGCTTTTTCTGTTAGTAATTTTCAGATTTCCCAGAGCGTGTAACAGTTGTCGAAATGTTTGAGGGCATGTTTTCTCCTCTTTTAACTTCATAATTTATTGTTACTGTCATTGCTTATTGTCGTTTACCAATTTACAAATTTTTATCTGGTGTAAGTATACTTTTACTTTAACTTTTAGTCATTTAGCAGACACTTTTATACAAAGCGACTTACAAATAAGAAAAAGTAATTAAAACTAAAAGCTAAAACTCTATAAATATTATATATATACATATTTAAGAAAATAAAAATGACAAATGCATACAACAACATTTATGACAAAGGTATACGATTCCAGCCTCTCATAAAACAAAAGAAAAACCTGTGAACAGTACTAGTAATGCTGCTGTCGGAGGAACAAGATAAGGGCATAAGGGAAATGATGGGGCAGCAGTGGAGTCTGGTGGGTTTTAGTCATAATCTGGTGTTGCTATTAGTGCACCATTCAAATATGTCCTGAGGGACAATATTAAAGCACAACATCGATGATCAAATTCAAACCTGGGGCCAAGTGAGCTCATCACACAGCCCAAACCCACACCCTGTGGCATTTCCACAGTGTTTAACATGCACGCACACACACAAATATACAGTGAAACTATCAGAAACACTCTCATGCATGCTTTTCCCCCACATATACTCGACCTTGCAGGCACGCAAATTCACAATTGCTGTGGTTATAGGATTAACCGGGGTGTATTACCTGGATTCAGAATTGAAGAAGTGCAGTCACAGATAGAGAAACAGGAAATAACTTTAGTCACGATGGGTAGTGACTTGTTCACGCACAGTTTGGTGACAGTTAGTCTTAACTGGCTTTTATTTAACATTAATAATGCTATACCTGCTTTCACAGGCAAATGTTCTTAGAATAAAAGCTTAAAACAAGTTTACAAAAGTCTGAAAAGAGTCCACAGCAGTTTGTGAAATCATTTTAACAGTGTGTGAGAAGATGAGTATTAGTTTTTCATTTGGAACTAATACGAGGGAACAAAAACAAAAATATATATTGATGTAGTTTTTATTTTTCAAAACTTACTGTGATGCACCCAACAGTCATTTCATCATGTGATTCGATTAATCGATTCGCTTAAGTTGCCAGTGCCATATAATCATTCTGGCAGCATGTGTTTGGGCTGTTTATTGATTCTGAACTTCTGCCAGATTGCTCCCTTTTCTCACTGCTGAATATATTAGCACTTGAATTATCAGAATGCTACATTACTATATGCCAGACGGTTCTGTGAACCAGTTTGAAAACGGCAACACCCTTTGATAGCATTACATTAAGGTGAAAAACATCTGAGAATAAAATATTCAAAAGCAAAAATTAATTACTGTTTAAGAAATGCTAATACGTAAGATATGAAGCAGTTCTTTTTTCCTAATTGTTCGTAATATCAATTTGATACGTTTCCTTGTTTATTTCTGCCTAATTTATTTAATTAAAAAGATAAAAATAGTAATTTAATATCCTATTTAGCCAAAGATATAGATAAAGAGGTAGAATACTAAATGAACTAAACAGATCTCTTGTTCTGCATGGGATTTATAGGTTATTATAGCAGTAATGAGATGCTGCATAGATAAACTGTCCTCTCGTTCACTAAATGGGTATCACTGATTACATTTTTATGGCTCATTCTTTTTCTTTGATTATTGTTTGATTGGTTTGGTGTGGTCTAATGGTTTGAGATTCAGGCTGATAACTGAAAGGTTGTAGGTTCAATCGCATTTCTGGCCTTCAGCGCAGCCTATCCTCAGGTTGCTGAAGGGGGGATTGTCAGGTACACACACACAAACCATCATGTCTGTGTTTGCAACTTTCCAGACAAGCTGTCAGTGAATGTTTTGTCTGTGTTGGTCTGTATACATAATAATGCATATATACAGAGCAACACAGATTTACAGTCTAGCTGGAACGTTCCAAACATAGCCTTTTGAACTTACGTATCCAATCATATTAGAGTACTGGATCTAACTGTTGATTATTGTATATCAAACACATAAATGAACATTACATCATCAGAATCACTGTTATGGCTATTCATTAGATCATGCCATTAATTTTTAATTGCCTCTTCATCTTTCCAAATTCAGCTCCGTGATGATATACTATACAGTTGCTCACCCACACAACCCTCTCTTCCTGTCCCGCAGGCATCCTGTATAAAGGCAACGGTGAGAACGTCTTCATCTCCCAGCAGCCTCCAGTGATCAGCACCATTATGGGTAATGGGCGCAGGCGCAGTATCTCCTGCCCCAGCTGTAATGGCCAGGCTGATGGCAACAAACTGTTGGCTCCAGTGGCCCTCGCCTGTGGATCTGATGGCAGCCTGTTCGTCGGTGACTTCAACTACATCAGACGCATCTTTCCCTCTGGAAACGTTACCAGTGTTATGGAGCTGAGGTAAGAAACGCAAGCTAGTACATTAATAAACAATATAATGTAGCCTTTGTGCTAATGATATGAACACTGCGTGTCGTTAGACTGTAATATGGGGCACTCAGCCCAGTGTAAGGCTCATGTGGTCTGAGAAGAACATGCTGACAGTTACAGGGTTCTCATCTGTAGAGGGTGACTCATTACTGGTGCTCTCGCCCCCTTAAGCCAAGAAGAAATGCATATTCCCATCTACCACAAGCCTTCTATTGAGCTCGTCCAGCCCACATCAAAGGCTGTGTGTGTGCGCGCGCGCGTCTGTGTTTATTTACTGAGCTCAGAGAAATAACAGTGTTTATCTCTCAGAGTTTTTCTGCCAACTAAACAAAGTTGTTTTTGTTTCTTCAAAGAGATTAATCAGAGATTTATAATATAGCCTTAAAGCTTATAATTTAAAGAAGCTGTTGATTCTACGTATGTTTGTTCTTTCATTGAAATGTAATTGTATTTTGTTGGTCGCAGGGCATTTTATATGTCACCAAATCTATTGTGGCTTAGTTTAATTTCAATTTCAGTTGACATTCAAAAACTCAAATCTCATCATTTAGGAGTTTGCATACAACTGTTGGCAGCACAAAGTGAATTTTTTTTTTTTAAATGCATTTTTAGTATTAAAATGTTTGAATCTCTAAATGCAAGCTAAAATGTAAATATATGGAAAGGAGTTCTTTTGTATGCCCTAGTTGTTCTTTTTGGGCAAATTAAACTCAACAGCCCCAGTCTCCACTCACTTTCAGTGTATGGAAAATAGAAGTCTGCACATAATATTAAATTAATTCCTTTTACGTTCCACAGAGGATACAAACACATTCAGATTTGGAGTGACATGAGGGTTAGTAAATGATGACATTTTCTCTTTAAGAGGAAAATATCTCCAAAAAGCTGTCAAATGTTCCATCTCTATAATAGAAAAAAATAGTTTTGATTGTTCAGTATGTGTTTAAAAAAAGAAACAGTGGTGATAGTGATTTAATAATCTAAACTATCTGAAATATTCAAAGTATATTCCCTCCTGACTGTGATCACAGTGTGATCTAATCTAAACACCATGAAGTGCAGAGCTGATACATTACAAGCATGAGGTGAACACATGTGCCCTTTTCTTTCAAACTTCGAGACCTGTCATTTCCTTTCCTTAGATCTAGAGTGGGCTCACACATCCACAGTGAAAGAGACACGTAGATATTCTTTCAAAGTGCTCTCAGGGTTCCTCTATACATGAAATCAGAGCCGTGTCTCGGGTCTTTTATAGACTCTCACTGAAATGATCATAAATTCTTCCCTCACACTCGGTGGGGCCTAGAGGGCCCTCCATGTCACTCTCCACTCTCCTGCAGCACCCCATTTAGCCATTGCGGTGATACATGACCGTATCTCCTCTCTTGCCTTATCTCTTGTTCCTTTCTCTTTTGGCCTAAATCGTCTGTCTCGTCCTTTTAGCCGCCTCTCGTTTTCCATCTCATGTTTTCCCTGCCTGTGTCTTTCTATCATTGACACTTACTGTATTTTTAACCTTATCTTATCATCTTCCGTTCCTTCCATCTGCCCCCAACTTGATACCTGCGCAAAAATCTCTCATATGTGCGCTCACACGAGGTCTCTATAAATGGCCCAGCACTTAACAGGTTTCAGTATCATCTTTGTGCGTCTGCTGCTCCTGTAAATTAAATTCCTTCATTAAAGCCGTAAAACACATGGATGAAGCAAATGAAATGGTGGTCCTCTGTGGGACATATTCGCAGCGTGGCTTCTGTGCGGCTAAAGGCAATGTTTAAGGAATTGCTTTTCATTGTCTGGGACACAATCAATTTGCTATTATGGGCCAGTTAACCTCAGCGTGTGCTGTGAGCTCATACTGCTCTTCAGTTCCCAGGTGGAATATTCACATATCCAACTCCGTTTAAGAAACAAGACAAAGTACAGATAACAGGCCCGTCTTGCTGCATTATTTCCCATCTATGTGCGAGAAGGAAAGATTAATATATGCACACCTGTTTTTTTCCCCTTTCTTGACAAGATTTATGTGCTTCTGCTGTTTTACTCTCTCTCTCCCTTTTCTTATCTCTCTTATTTCTGCTCTTTTTTTCCTCTGCTACCCTAAGAAATAAAGATTTCAGACATAGGTAAGCCATTCCAACTCTCTCACCGATGCACAGCCCCTTTCAGTCTGGTTGCAGGCCATTCTTTATACAAGTATTTGTCTCCCCATAAGTGTTGTGGCATGCTATCAGAAGTAAACGTAAATGTGTCATCTGCTTCAGATGTTTATTGGCGTACCAGTGACATTTTGTGATAATTCTTAAAGTTTGTTTGATTTTCTTAGTCACATAATTAATTTGCTTTAAAGCTCATTGCCCGAATCTCTAATACATTGAGGTCTGAAAGTCTAAGACCATTAGTTTTTATATATATATATATATATATA